TGTCCTCCTCTGTGGCTTAGCAAGGCTGTTCCTCCCTCAGGGGTGGAGGGAAGGTCAAAGAGCCAGCCACTGAGTTCATGTCAGAAATACTCCCTGTTCCCTTTATTAGGGAACCCATTTGGATACTGAGCTACCATGGGCTTCATCTGTGCAGGGGTTCTAGGTTATAACCATACATGGTCCTTGGTTGGAGAAACAGTCTCTTGAAAGACCCCTGTGCCCTGATATATTTGATCCTTGTGGCGCTCCTGTACTCTCCAGGTCATACTAACTCCCCCTTCTTTCATATGATTCCCTGCACTCTGCCCAAGGTTTGGTTATGAGTCTCAGCATCTTCTTTGATACACTGCTAGATAGAGTCTTTCAGAGGCCCTCTGCAGTAGGCTCCTGTCCTCTTGTTTTCTCCTACTTCCAATGTCCATCCCATTTGTCTTTCTAAGTGAGGATTGATCATCTTATTCCGGGTCCTCTTTCTTATTTATCTTCTTTAGATGTACAGATTTTAGTATGTTTATCCTAACTTACAGGTCTAGTACTCACTTATAAGTGACATTTGGGTTTTAAGAGAGGTGACATACTCTACTCTTTACTCTGAAAGAAGAGGCAGAAAGTAACAGGTTGGTGGTAAATTATGAAGTGGCCCAGACAGGCACCTCCTATTTGTTATAGGATACTACCATGTTTCTACTTTTTTTTTATAAATAAAATTAAAAATTTTAATATGATATTTGAGAATTGCTAACACTGACAGTAGTTACAGGTTCAATAGGTCAAACCTTTACATCAGCTTTAGCTAATCCATGCATCTACCTTTGAACATATGCCCGTTAGTTTGCTCCAAATTTCGAAAATGGTTTTTCCGAAACGTAATCTTGTAGTTTAATATTAACACTGTTAAAATTCTTTTTCTTTATTAAATTAATTTTTTTTTATTAATTCCAGTTTATTCACTTTGTATCCCAGCTGTAGCCTCCTCCCTCATTCCCTCCCACTTCCACCCTCCCTCCCACTTCTCTTCCAATGCCCCTTCCCCAGTCCACTGATAGGGGAGGTCCTCCTCCCCTTCCATCTGATCCTAGTCTACAAGGTCTCATCAGGACTGGCTGCATTGTCTTCCTCTGTGGTCTGGCAAGGCTGTTCCCTCCTCAGGGGGAGGTGATCAAAGAGCCAGACACTGAGCTCATGTCAGAGACAGTCCCTGTTTTCCTTACTCAGGAATCCCACTTGGACACTCAGCTGTCATGGGCTACATCTGTGCAGGGGTTATAGGTTATCTTCATGCATGTTCCTTGTTTGGAGTTATCAGTCTCACAGAAGACCCCTCTGCCCAGATTTCTTGGTTCTGTTGCTCTCCTTGTGGAGCTCCTGTCCCCTCCAGGTCTTTCATCTCCTCCTTCTTTTATAAGATTCCCTGCACTCTTCCCAAAGTTTGGCTGAGTCTCAGCATCTGCTTTGATACCCTGCCAGGTAACAGAGACTGTCTCTGACATGAACTGATTGGCCTGCTTTTTGGTCATCTCCCCCTGACCGGGGAGCAGACTTACCAGGCCACAGAGGAAGACAATGCAGCCACTCCTGATGAGACCTAGTAGACTAGGATCAGAAGGGAGGAAAAGAAGACCTCCCCTATCAGTGGACTTGGGGAGGGGCATGTATGGAGAAGGAGGAGAAGGGGATGGATTGGGAGAGGAGGAGGGAAGAATCTACAGCTGGGATACAAAGTGAATAAAGTGTAATGAATAAAAAATAAAGATAAAAAAATGCAAAAAGAAAATAATATTTTGTCAGGAGCTAATCAAGAAGGAGGACCCTAGGTAAGATGCTCAATCCTCATTCAGAAAGGTAAAGGAGATGGACATCAGAAGAGGGAGAAAATGGGAAAGTAGACAGGAGTCTATCCACAGAGGGTCCCTGAAAATTCTTTTTCTTTTTTTGTAATTTAGTAGCCTGTGTTTCATTCAGTGTTTTTAGTTGCTTAGAATTTTCTTTTTAATATTCTTTGTCTTTACAGAATCAGACTCTTTGGTTCAAGCACTCAAGACATCACGTAAGGTACTGTAAACTTTACTTTGTCTTGTTAAGGATTTAATGAGTAAATAGAGGGGTATGAATTATGTCTATATGCTTATTTAAAACTTTTTTTTTTTTTAATGCAACAAATGAAGCTATTGCAAAGAATGCAGAAGTTGGGGCTACAGAGGTAGGCCAGTAGTTTAGAATGAGCCATGTTTAATTACCAGCACCCACATCAGATGGCTCATGGTTGCCTGTAGCTCAAGTTCCAGAGGATTCAGAGCATCTGGCCTCTGGACCACTGCACTTACATGTGTGCGTATGCACACACTTACACACACACACACACACACACACACACACACACACACACAAATTGCTAATAAAAATAAATGTTTAAAAGTAATTTAGCACTGTCTTGACCTGTATCCTTCTTTCCAGGAATGGTCAATAGAAAATTTCTTCAAGTCTTCTAGATTGATGCATATATAGAATTTCTATTCTTTAAAATGAGATTGTATATTTTGGTCTTACGGGATAATTTGGAATTAATTCTGTCACTATGTACTAGGTTATATTCTTTTGGTAGTGCACGGTGTTAGTTTGATGTATCAACTAGTATTCATCTTAAGTTGCTGAGTGTTTTTAAATGTGGGGAGGACTGAGCATTGTACAGTCTGTGAGCAGAGGCTTATGGGCAGACAGTCACCCCTGCTGGCTGTAGGGTTTTACAACTACAGCTCCAAAATGAGATTACAAGTGTATGTGGACTTAGTGTGAGTTTAAAACTCAGAACTTGCCACTTTTCCTGTCTGTCTTCTGATTTTAACTTAGTTATGCTTTTAAATAGCAAAATATTTTAAGATATGATTAGATGTGTAATATTTGAAGGAGTAGTTGGAACAGTGTACTTTGCAGATACTACAGTGAATATACATAATTCTTTATTTTTCTAGTACTAAAAATAGTTGTAGTTTAAAGTGATATTAAAATGATGTAAGTTGAAAATAAAGCCCTCATATGTTTCTTCTAATTAAAGAGGAAAAGGGAAAGAACAGAAATGAGTTTCATTATACAGATATATATATATTTATATATATGATATATATTTATATTTATAGAATACTTTTATAGGCACTCTTTTTGCTGCTTTTTTATATATTAACTCTTTTAAATATCAGAAAAATTTCATGATACCAGTATGTTTATTACATATTCTTTGAGACTAAGTCTCCTATATCTCAGAATGGTCTGCAGTTTGCTGAGAAGCCCAGGAAATTATATCTTTTTTCTTCATTTCAAGTGCTGAAATATAGGCTTGTGCCATTGTGCCTGTCTTTTGTAATTTTTCCTTCCCTGGAGCTAAATAACTTATGTAGAATGACATAGTTAAAGGTGGAAGAGTAAAGATTTAAACCCAGGTTTGGGTGTTCTGGTTTCCTCTTAACTAATCTGCTGTATTGGTTTTCTTTTCTTTATGCATGTGTACACACACACACACACACACACACACACACACACACACACACACACCTTCTCTAAAATTATTTGTCTGTTGGTCAGTTATCGTCAGGCTCTCACAGTTGTGGCCTAGGTTGGCCTCAAATTTATGGCAGTCCTCTTGCCTTAACTTTTCTCATGCTAGGATTGCAAACAGGAGCCCCATGCCCAGCTAGCATTTTGTTTAAAGCAAATGTAATATTGTAATATTATGTGGGGTGTGGGTATATGTGCTTATAATTCCAGTACTTCTTGGTGAGGCAGAGAGAATCAATAATTTTAAGTTAGCCTAAGTTATCTGAGACCCTGTCTGTAAAAGCAGCAATAATAAAAACATAAGATCATGCTAGATAATATGTTGCTATTGGTTATTTTTATTGGTTTGAAAATTGAAGGTATTTTAAAGTTGCATCATGCTTCCATTCTAGTTTTCCCCAATTATATTTCCCAATCCTTGTCATTTTCTTTTCAAAGTAAATAGTTCTATGTGCTGGTTGTGTGGTGCACACCTTTAGTTCCAGCACTGAGAGGGCAGAGAAGGCTGGTCTCTGAGTTTGAGGCCAGGTTTTGTCTACATAGTGAGTTCCAGACCAACCAAACTACTTAGAGAGTTGCTGTCTCTGAGAAAAATAAGATTATAGACTCAAGTATTTAAGAGTTAAAGGGAGAATTAAAGACATGGCACTTTCAGTGAATTTCAGAACCTAATGTGTGTAGAAAGTACATTTTAAGGTATTTTAAGAATTTAACTTTATACAGTGTCTTATTAGATAATGATGTTTACATTTTGGTTCATATTGAGACATTTTGAAATTGTTTATGCATACAAAAGTAATTTACATAAGAAGGGAGAATATCACATTTGTCTTGACACTGAATTAAGTTTATTTAATTGTACAGATCTAAACTACTGAGAATACAAAAGGGCATTTCACTGCTTTAAACATCATATCTTACATATGCTAGCAGTACTTTGTATGTGAGAGGGAGAATAATATGTAAATTCTGGATGTCTTAGGGTTTCTATTACTGATAAAACACCATAACCAAAAGCAGTCTGGGGAGGGAGAAATTTATTTCAGCTTACGTTTTTACATTATAGTCCATCAAAGGAAGTGAGAGCAGGAACTCAAGACTGGAGTCTGGAGGCTGGGATTGATGCAGACTTCATAGGGAGTGTTTCTTATTTGCTTGCTCCTCTATGCCTTCTTTAGCCTGATTTATTATACAACCCAGGACCACCTGCCAGGGGGTGGTACCACCGACTTTGACCCTCCCACGTTAATGATTAATCAAGGAAGTGCCTCACAGGTTTGCCCACTGGCCAATCTAATGGAGGCATTTTCTCATTGAGCTTCCTCTTCTGAAATGATTCTAGCATACATTAAGTTGGCATTAAAAATTAGCCAGCACATTGTAGGTTTTAACCTTGACTTGGAAGGGATTCTGAGGACAAAGGAATTTTGATGCATTTAGATAATAGTGGTTGGTACTGAGTCATGGGACCAAAACATGAGATTAAATTGAATTAGTTTCTTTTCCTCAAGCTTTTGCATTTGTGTGTTTTATTACAAGATGTTTTCTTTTCTTTTCTTTCTTTTTTTTTTATGGCTGGAGAGACAGCCGTGGGTGCTGGGAACTGAACTCTTATATTTGTGGTTGAAGATGTTTTCTTTAGGAAGTTATAGACTATGACCTTTAGAGTCTCTGAGGATTTTTAGCATCTTATAAATACAGACTTCAGTTGGCTCAGGTGAGGATTATACATTTGTCTTTAATTCTTTAAAAACTTTATTATGTACATGTGTGTGCACGTTTGTGTGCCAGGATATAAATGCAGAATTCAGAGAACATGCAGGAGGAGTCAATTTTACTCTACCATTGCCCCCAGAGATCGAACTCAGCTTGTCAGATTTGGTGGCTTGAGCTTGCTTAGCTATTTTGCTTGCCCTAATCCTTTTATAGAGGCGTTTTAAAAAATTATAACCCCTTTAAATTATTTTCTATTATAAGAGTGTAAAGCAGGATAATACCATAACTCATAGAGTAAGCTAATAGCGAAGTGTGTTTGCTTTCTTTAAAAGGCTTTTCTAGGGTCCTGGAAAGTTGGCTCAGTGGTAGAGTACTTATTGCTCTTGCAGAGGGCCCTGGCTTGGTGCCAGCACCCATATGGTAGCTCACAACCATCCATAACTCAACTTGCAAAAGATCTGATGTCTTCTTCTGACCTGTGCCAGCACCAGTCAGTCATGTGGTTCATAGACATAAATGTAGTCAGAACACCTATACATGTATGTTTTTAATGATCATAACATCTCGTGATGACTGATCAGACTCCTTTGTATTTTGACAGAACGGTATTTTCAGTGCCTATCATCATTCCTTGAATTATCCTAACATGGGCTGGAACCCAGAACCTCACACATATCACGCAAACATTCAATCAATGAGGCATACTCCAGTCTGGTTAGGCTTTAATATTTTGATATATGGGCAGGGGCAGTTCTGTATTATAACTCACAGTTCTCTGTTCTCTAAGTATTTTATATGTAATTATTTTTCTGATGTTTGAACCTGTCCTGAGGGAAATAACCTCATAATAAGGTGTAGGCATAAGGCTGAGAAACCAAAAGTGATTTCTTTCAGGCAAAACCCATCATCTACTCTCTATCAATTACTATGCTAGGTTATTGGAAACAGAGTCATAAAAATATATATTGTTAGATTTCATTTCACAGTACTCTTTAGTTTTTAGTTTAGGATTTTGCTTGTTTGTTTATTTTTTAAAGACAGGATCTCAACTGGTTGATCAGCTGGTCTTGAGCTTGTATCCTGGAGTCATCCTCCCACATCCCTCTCCTAAGGAGCTGGTGACATAAGCTTTTCCCATTACCTCTGAAGCACAGTGTGTTTTGAGTGTGATTTTAATGTTTATCTCTGAATGCTTTCTGTTTCTAGAGTCATCAGTTATTCTAGGGTGACACTTAAACAGCTTGCAAAGTGTTTCAGAATTTGAGAATAAACTGAAGAGAGATAATTTGAGCAGTTCCTATGTTTGCTGTAGCTTTTTGCATTAGAACTGATTTTAATTGTTGTGTTTCAGTCGGATACATCTTCAATCAGTAATAAATCAACTTGTGATGAAACAGTTGAAATGCCCAAGAGTGGCAGAACCCAGACACATCCAGAAAGGAAAAGATTAAATGAAGATGGACTTCACCAAGATGAACCCCCAGCAAAGAAAGGTACTGGCATTCCAGCTACCCAAAAGGTGCTTCACAAGCAGGAAGTGACTGGACCAATATCAGGCTTTAGGAAACCTAAATACCGTGAATGCTCATGTTAACGTGTTCTAATGTATCAGGAAATATGTGTACATAAAATCTTTATTTAATCAAGGTTTTAGATACTGAACTTTTATCATTCTCTGCCTCATATTTCATTCTGTGGTTTTAATAGGTGAAAGTCACATTCGTAAAATGTTTGTGTTTTTGCCAAAATCTGTACTTACTCTTTTTTTCACTTTTCATTTTTTATTCATTCGGATAAAAAGAGGATACTTGACAGACTTTGAGCCAGATGTTACTAACAAAACTGTACTTGAGTTGTATTTCAAATGCTAGAGGAAAGTTTGTTGAAAAATACTGTTAATTGATAACTTTTTTTGAAATACTTAAAAATGGTCAAATATGTTAAAAAAGGCTCTTTATAGTAAAGTGTGATTTTTTTTTTTAAAGAAATAATTAGCAAAGTGTCAATTGCAAATATAGGAAAACCTTTGAAAATACACTCAGCAGCTTTTAAGAAAGAGGGGTTTTAACAGCTGTGTGTTGTGGTGTCTACCTGTGGTCCTAGACCCCAGAGTGCGCAGGCCTGCTTGTGTGGGTTTGAAGCCTTCCTGGGCTACATATCAAGACTGTGTGTCAGTAAAACAACAAAAGTACATTAAAAAAAAGATAGAAAGAGGCTGTACACCAGGCAGTGCCAAAAGTTTTACCTCTTCTTTTAGGTTAGAAAGACAGTATAAATTATAAATTTTTTACTGTATTATTTTTATTTTTAAAAATTTATTTATTTAAAATTTATTTGTGTATGAATATTCTCACTTGTATTTATGTGCACTGTGAGTGTGTCTGGCGCCCTTGGAGGTCAGAAGGCAGTGGATTTGCAACTGCAGTTACAGATGGTTGTGAGCCACCATCTGGGTGCTGGAAACATCTTGGCTCTTCAGAGAACAAGTGCTCTTATCACTGAGCCAAGAAATTGCAAGTTTAAAATTGTATAAGTAATTAACTTTATCTAGTGAGCTTTTAAGGTAGTCCATACTAAACAAAATAGAGAGATCTTGGTCATATTTATGGTGTAAGATTATATTGACCTATATTAGTTGCTCACGGCTAACACAGCAACTGAAGGAAGGAAGGGTTTGTGGTTCACAGTTTGAGGGTCTAATTCATCACGGTGCAGGCCAGCAGCAGAGGGCGTCAGCAGACAGAGAACACTACTGCTTGTCTTGTACTTCTTATCCATAGAATGGTTATCCACATGTAGGCATTTTCACCTCGTTTATCTCACACCGGAATCTTCCTCACACACCTACACACTTACAGCCTCTAGAGTTTTGACAAAGGTGAAAAAATATTTATTGGAGAGAAGACAACAGAGTTAACAAATGTTTTGGAAAAACTGTCTGTGTTCATGTAGAATGAAGGTAGATCCTTATCTCTTACGTTGCACAAAAATCGACTCCGTGAAGAGAAAATATTAACATCAGATCTGAACTTGAGCTCTTGCTTCTGTCTCCCCAGGGGTCAGATTGCAAGTGCATGCTGCTGGGGCTGGCTTTTTATGTGAGTGCTGTGGATCAAACTCGGGCTTTCACACTTGCCTGACAAGACTTTGCCGATTGAGTTATTTCTCTAGCCTGTATCTCATTGTCTGATACAGGATCTCTCCCTGAGACATGGGGCTCAGTGATTAGGCTAGACTTGCTGGTCAGGGAGCCACAGACATCCAGTTTTCTAAGCTTTCCCAGTGCTGGTATTTCAGGTGTGTGCTATCACGCCCAGCTTTTTTCATGGGTTCTAGGGATCGATCTTGGACCCTCATGCTTACATGGCAAGCACTTTACCAACTGAGACTCTGATTCAGGGCCAGCAGAGCTACCCTTATCCTAGAAATGTAGTCAGTGAGCCTGCAAACATACATTAAATTCATGTTTAATTAGTTGAGCCCTTCTGTATTTTTCTAGATTTTGCTAATAGCTGTTTTATCTCTGAAGCACAGCACTTGCTTTGATCTTTATACCTAAAACACAGGACCTATTAGCACCAGTTCATTTTTCCATCAGAGCAAAGGATCAGGATTTAGCAGTTTACTGATGACTTAGTGAAAGGTGGGCCTATATGTCCTAACTTCTGATGCTATATGACTTTTGAGAATTTCAACCCCTGTGTACTTTTATGTATGAAAAAATTTAATAAGATTTTTCAATCTGTAAATCACTAACAGTAACTTTACTTTGAAACTGTTCTTTAGGATATAGTTGATTGCTAGAATTTCACTATAATTCCCTCTCTTTTTTTCCATAATGTTAGATAAAGGTTAGAATTAAAGTTAAATAACAATTATTAGAAATGATAACAAAGTGAGTACTCAGAAGTAGTAACTATTACTTTGTTAGATCTTTTGCCAACTCTGACACATAGCTATATTTTTTATGTTAATGGGTAAGTCCTATATGTTTTCCTTTTCTTCTAAAAGCTCGAAACAGTTTTTCGTTACCACTTTGGTGTTTTTAATGTATGCGTATTGCTTTATATGCAAGTTGTACTTTGTTGTGTTTTACAGTAGTACCAATATTCTCTTAAAGGGCTTGTACCTGTTCATCCGTCCTTTACTGAAGATGAAAACAAAAGTGAAGAAATGCAGCAGTCTGTTTCAGAAGGTGAGGAAGGCAATAGAGCTCTACAGGAAAGGAATGAAGAGCTAAAAAGACTTTTAATTATTCATGAGAATGAACTCAGAAGTGAAAAGGAGGAAAAAGCAGAATTAAGTAAACAGGTTGTGAGTTTGCAACAGCAGCTTTGTTTCTCTGAAGAAAAGAACTCGTCTCTGAGGACAAAGGTGGAACAAATCCAGGCCAGTTATGAAAGTGCGGTTTCTGAGTTACATAAACAGAAAGGTGTGAACCAAGAGCAGGAGGAGAGGATCCTGACATTGTCACAGGAGATGGAAACTGCCACAAGAAACATCAAAAGCAATGTTGCACAGATAAAACTAATGCAAACAAAAATAGATGAACTTCGGTCTCTTGATTCGCCTTCTCATTTTTCAAAAATAGATTTCCTCAATCTCCAGGATCTCTCAAATGGTCCTAAAGGGGATAATATGCTGAACACATCACTACAGCTTCGAGGTAGTGACTTGTCAAGCGAGTGGGCTAAAGAAGATCACATTCAAGAGCTCAGTAGGGAAAGTTCCTTCCACTCTAGTATTGAAGCCATCTGGGTAGAATGTAAAGAGATTGTGAAGGCTTCCTCCAAAAAGTCTCATCAGATTCAGGGGCTGGAAGAGCAGATTGAGAAATTACAGGTGGAAGTAAAACGCTACAAGGATGAGAACAATGAACTTCGAGCAAAGGAAAGTGAGGATAAGAATAGAGATTACCAACTGAAAGAAAAAGAAAGTCTTCTTCAGCAGCTCAGAGAAGAACTGCAAGAAAAAAATGTCGGTCTCGGTACTCAAGTACAGCTTGCAGCTGAAAGAGAACAAGCTTTTTCAGAGCTTTCCCGGGATGTTACATGTTATAAGGCAAAAATAAAGGAACTAGAAATGATGATAGAGACCCAGAAAGTTGAGTGTAGCCGTTTGGCTGAGTTGGAGCAAAACATTTTAGACAAGGAATCTGCCATCTTAAAGCTAGAAGCAAGTCTGAAGGAATCTGAAGCAAATTGTCAGGATCACATCAAAGGTACCCAAAATTTACATGAAAAGGAAGTCAAGTTGAGAGAAGAAATCACACAGTTGACAAATAATTTGCATGATATGAAACAGTCACTTCAGTTAAAGGAAGAAGAAAATAAAACTAGAGGACAAGAAACAGAAAAGTAAGCTAAGTCTTATTTAAACGATCTAACATATGTAAAATATTTTACATTGTGTGTTTGTGCATTTGTGTACATGCATACATGAGTGTGGGGTCAAAGAACAACCCGTGGGAGAGAGTTCCTTTGTCCCTTTCCTGTAACATGTGACCTCCAGTAATTGAACTCCGGTCATAAGGTTTAGTAGCAAGCTCCTGTATTCACTAAGGCATCTCAGATTCCAAGCATTAATTTGTCTGCATAATTTTTGAACAATTAGAGGGTCTTCAATTAATTTGGTGGAATTTAGCATATACGATGAGTGAAGCACTTGAACTTGGTTCATTAAAACTTTTAGAAACAAAAGTTGTATGAAAAAAATATACTCCTAAGACACCTCATGACACTCCCTGAAGCACTATTGCTAGTTTATACATTCTATGTTTGAAAAAGTCTAATTTTGTGACACATGTTGCTGTTTCACACAGTAATCCTAAGCAGTCAATGGTACTTCACCGTAGACAAGTAGTCTGTCATCCTTTTTTCTTTTTAGATTGAAAGAGGAGCTTGCTGCAAACTTGGTTCTTACTCAGACTCTCAAAGCAGACCTTCAGAGGAAGGAAGAAGATTATGCTGAGCTGAAAGAGAAACTCAATGATGCCAAAAAGCAGATCGAGCAGGTACAGAGGGAGGTGAGTAATATGAAGAGTTGTGTGGGCAACTTAGTGTGGTACAGATTTTCTCCCTTAGGTTTCAAGTTCAGATGTAGATTTAGGATTAAACAGGACATCTGTGAGCTTGAATTTTTCCTAAAATGGTGAGTGCCATTAATTTAAAAAAAAAAAAAATGTAGCTAACTTAAATACACTGAAGGTTAACATGGAGAAAAATATGTGGGTATCATGGCTTTGGAAATGACTCCACCTACTATAGGTGATAAATGTCTCCACTCCCGGGTGGGTATGGTGTGTGTGTGCGCGCATACACATTCATGTGTAAGATATATATGCTTCATAGGACTAGAATTTTTTTCTTTAGAAAGTATGAAATTCATATATATTTTGCATACAGTACTAGAATCCTTTTCCTTTAAAAAGTGTAAAATTCATGTTTCTGTAAAAAATAGAATGTAGCTTGTAAAGTTAATATTTAGGGTAGTAACAAATTTTCATTGTAATTTGATTTAGATGATTTTTGCTACCTTGAGGGTGTTATGGCTGTAAATTAACATAATTTCAAAATAGGGAATTTAATTACACAATCCCAAAGTGTGAAACATACAAAGAAATATTTAAGGAGGGGAAATTTTTATTTTATTTTCTTCCAGTCATTTTCCTTGAAGGGTAATGCATATGACTGATTGTTTTTTTGCCTTTTAGTTTTCCTTTGCTCTGTAGTTTTTTTCCCCCAGTATATATCTTCCTATGAAAATCAAAAACATCTTGCTGGGTTGTAGTGGTGCAATACTTTAATCCCAGCACCCTGGAGGCAGAGGCAGGCAGATCTCTGAGTTCGAGGTTAGCCTGGTCTACAGAATGGGTTCCAGGACAGTCAGGGCTACACAAGATAAACCCTGTCTTGAAAAACAAAAGAAAAAAAAAATCAAAAACATGCTAATAACCCATTCCTCCTTTCCTCATCCCTCTCCTCCCCTTTTCTTTCCTCCTCTCAGCAGGCAAGCTGTACATCTTGGCAGCTACCTTGTAGAGAAGAGAAGAGGGAGAGGAGTGTTGGTGCTTTAGTCCAACCAGCAAGGAGGTTGGCCGTGTGGCACAGGAAGCTACTTGCTGGGGCGGGGAGGGGCTGTAAAGGAAGAGTCAGAAAGACTGAAGTGATAGGGAAAGCATGCTTAGACCAAAATAGTAAAAAGCTGAATGTTTGCCTCTTAGTAATTTGTTATTGCCTTTAGCAGTATTTGTGGTTTTCTGTTGGGATTAAAGGGCAAGATACCTGAAAACATGGCCATAAATTTTAAACAACAAAAAGCTTGAAAATGTTCAGTTTGCTTTATAAATTTTGCTTTGGAGGTATCTGTGATGCGTGATGAAGAGAAATTATTGAGGAGTAAAATTAATGAACTGGAGAAAAAGAAAAACCAGTATTCTCAGGAAGTAGATATGAAACAACGAACCATTCAGCAACTCAAGGTAGTGGCTATGTTGTTAATGATGCTTGTTTCTGTTGTGAGATTCTATTGCCTGATAAAAGGTGTTCTTATTTTTTCATTCATTCATTCATTTACTGTATTGAACATTTATCTTGTTGCTTTGAGATAGGGTGTCACTTTGTAGTCTACTAGAGTCAGAGTCTTCTGTCAGCATTTGTCAAGGGTCAGGATGGCAGGCACAGGCCACCAGGCCCTACTACCATATGATTGTTTGTTCTGTTTAATACAGATAGAGTGTTGCACTGTCGTCCAGACTGGTCTGAAATGATCCATCCTAAAATCTGTTTGATTGGGCAATGGTCCTCAGATATCTGTGGATTGCAACCCTTTACGGTCCAATGACTATTTCACGGGCGTTGCCCAGGACCGTCGGAAAACACAGATATTTACATTACGATTCCTAGCAGTAGCAAAATTACAGTTATGAAGTAGCAACAAAAATAATTTTATGGTTTGTGATCACCACAACATGAGGAACTGTAATAAAAGGTTGCAGCACCTAGAGATTGTGATAAAAAGATATTGGAGAGTCTAGTCTTGGTGACCTGACAGGTTATAACTAAATTGTAGGGTTTGCTGTCCCTATTGAACTTTTCCCCTTAAGACTCCTGATACTTTTGTCAGACCTTACAGTTGCACTTTAGATATAGGGTTCTTATTTTTTTCTACATTTTGTGTTTCATAATGGGAATTTAAAACAATTTGTATATTCAATATGCATTACCGTTTTCCCTTGATTTTGCATTTTATGAGAACACACTTCTTTCTGAGTAGGTATATATTGAGTAGGTATGACAGTCAGAACTAATATTAAAATATAAGTTTTTTATTGTATTTTTAGTCAAAACCACTTGCATTTATTTATGTATATGTGCATGTATATGAGTAAATTATGGTTGCACATGTGCCATGATGTGTGTATCCCATTGCATGTGTGGAGGTCAGAGGACAGCTTGTGATGCTTCTCTTCTTCCATTCTGTGTATTCCTGGAATGGAGCTCAGGCTTGCCAGGCTTGGTGAGCACCTAACTCACATCTTACTAGGCCTGTTCTCTGACTCCTTCCCAACCCCCAACAGTTTCTCCTTGTCTCACAGCCTTGGCTGTCTGGCCTTGAACTCACACATGTGTGACACATGTGTGCCATCACACCTAGCTCCTATTAAGACCTGCTTGTTCACCGCTCTAAAGGCTATGGGGTCTGGGAGAATGGAGCCAAGGAAAGAGGTGGGCTAAGTCTCATGCAATAGCCAGCTTTATTCAGAGTTTCAGACAGCTTTTACGCTGAAGGGTGAGAAAGGTCACATGAGTAAAGTTGTCATGAATTCAAGCTGTATACAGTCATAAGCGGTATGTACCCACAAATCACACGTGGCAAAAACAGTCTTTTACAGAGGCATATAAAGGATAGTTAAAATTTTTATTGAATAGCAACAGCAAGCAATAATGAGTAATCTTAACTAAACTCACTCCTATTCACACCTTGGAGGAGCACAAAAGCACATTCCAAGAACAACTTTATGCTGTTAAGAAACTGCTATTTCAAGATTCATGTCTTGTTTTTTTAGTGTTCTCACAAGCACTCAGCATTCTCCTCACACAACTATATTCCTAGACCATGTTCTGACACCTACTATTAACTGTTGTTAAGTGTTGATTTATATGTGTCCTTAGTTGTATTTCTTAATTTTTTAGGAGCAGTTAAGTAATCAGAAAATGGAAGAAGCCGTACAACAGTATGAGAAAGTGTGCAAAGGTCAGAACCAAGTTCCTTGTTCTAGAATTAAATTGACTGTTAAATAGTTGTAATAATAGTTAACATTTTTTATGAAAATATTGACATGACAGTAATCAAAGATATCAAGGATAAAAAAACATTAATTCCACTGAATAATTTATAAACTTAAAATTGATTATTAGAAGAGCAATAAATAATATCCATCCAGTGCAACATTGATTCTTTGGTAATGGTCAGTAATTTTTTAAATTATTTTTATTAGTTCTGTGAGAATCTCATACTCTCCCAATTCTCAGACTTACTCTGCCTTTCCTGTTCCTCCCAGCTTTGTGACTCCTTTTCCTTCGTTTTTTCCGTCCCTCCTCACTCCCTCTTTCCCTCATTCCCTCCTTCCCTTCTTTCTCCAGGCCGGTTTTTCCTACCTTTCTATGTTTGGGTATGTAACCTTCCATTGGAGCAAGGCCGACTCAGCAGGGGCTATTTTCTCAGAGAATATACTGACCTTTTCTCTCTAGCAGGTAATAGTTGCCAATAGCTTCCCTGCTAAGAGTGGGACTTTCTGTCCAGTTTCCTTCTCCATGCTGGGATGTGGTCTGGCTAGGTTTTGTACAGGTCTTGTGTATGATGTCACTCTTCCTGGCCATTCTGCAGTGATCTCTGAGGCAGGGTTGGTGGGGCTAGTCTTTCTAATTTTCTTTGACTGCATTATCTTTGTACCTTTGTTGAAAAATCAATTATAAATTGAATGTGATAATTTTCTGGTCTTTGGTTTCTGATTTTTGTTCTGTTTGTCCTCATGATAGCATCTCATTTTTATAGAAACAATGTAATATGTGTTGAGATTGAGAAGTGTGAGTCCTCTATTTTGTGTCATTTGCAAAATTGTTTGGCTCCTTTTAGGTGATGTGCATTGCCACATGGATTTTAGGATCAGTCTGTTGACTACTACATAAAAGCCATATGTATTCTTGGTAGTGATTATGTTAAATCTGTTCTAATCAGGAAGATTTAACAAAATCTTTCATTAATGCTGGATGTATCTTTATATTTATTTAGGTCATAAATTTCAGTGGTTATGTTTTATTTTCACTGTATACATTTTCTGATTATTTTTTTTTTTTTTTTGTTATTTCTGAGTTCTTTGTGGTGCTGCAAATTGAGCTGTTAACACTAAATTTTCTCAAACATTTAGATCTAAGTGTTAAAGAGAAGATGGTTGAAGATATGAGGTTGACACTAGAAGAGCAGGAGCAAACTCAGGTAGAACAAGACCGAGTCCTTGAGGCTAAGTTAGAGGAAGCTGATTGGTTAGCCAAAGGTAAAGTGAGACTGCCTCTCAAACCTCACCTCTGTATTTTAATTTTCCTGTTTTTTCCTTCTCAAAAGTAGTGTTGTTTATAATAATTGAAAACCTTGACACTTGTTTTTTCCACTGTGATGAAAGTTATTTTTTCTGAGTAAAATTGTATGTCATAAAGAACTAGCACCCCAAGATAGGGCTTGAGAGAAGACTCAGTAACTCGTAGCTAAGAGCACTTGTAGCTCTTTGAGGGGATCTAGGTCCAGTTTCTAGCACCCACATAGTGACTTATGACCAACTATCTGTAACTTCAGTTCCAGGAGATCCAGTACCTCTTGATGTCAGTGGATACTAAGCATGTACATGGAGCACATGCACACATGCAGACAAAGAACTCATCCACATAAAATAAAAAAATAAATCTGTAAAGAAAAAGCAAGCTTTGATTGATTTGTATTTGCAGGCTTTTAGCAGTTATTTATTTTAGTAAGTACTCATTCCATTACTGTCACCATCATCCATTTTTTTCTAGCATGTGTTGAAAATTGTAACACTTACTAATAATTAGGCTAGTTATTGTCTGGTATAAAGGGAAGAAATATTTGTACTTATTTCAGTGACATTTTTTACATATAATTTCCTGTATTTGCTGAGTTATCCCAATTATCTGCATCTATGAAATGTGGTTGGTGATGAGTATGGCGTGTTTGTGATTGCACATTAGTGTTACGATAGTGTGAGAGTACTCTGTAAGCCCTTGAACTGTCTACTGTTGGATGGAGTTCTTCATCCTTTCCGTTCTATCCATTTTCCTAGATCAGACTTTTGTTGTTGTTTGAGAACCACAAGGATTGTGTCATATGCAATTCAGCTTGAAATAAATTTATACTTTGTATTTGGAAAAGTAATCTTTGGGTACATGAGAAATTCCTGTAGTTTCTATTTATCCACTAGGGATTCTGTGAGGGAGTCTAGAGAGATGACTCAGAGATTAAGAGCAGTTTTGTCCTTGTAGAGGACTGAGGTTTGGTTCCCAACACTCATAGTGGCTTACAATCATCAGTAACGCTAGCTCCAGGGGATCTGATGCTCTCTTCAGACTTTCTTGTGTACCAGGCAAATGTGTGACATACACATACATACAAACAAATAAAGAAAACTTAAAGGATTTGGTGAGACTGCTTAAAGTTCAGCTGTTAGAATAATTTCAGTTACATCTTGGTCTGTACTTTGGGCTCTGCTGATTTTTTTATTTTTTTTCTTTTTGGTCGGTCATACATATTGCTACATATCATGACATTTGTGTGTATTTTAAATCAGAATTGGATAAATGGAAAGAAAAATTCAAAGATCTGGAAACTAGAAGTAATCAAAGGTCAAATAAAGGAGCCCAGGATGACACAGACGTGCTTAATAAGAAGCTCAGTAAGCTTCAGGACGAGCTGCAGGTATCATTCCTCTTACAGCTTTCTGAATCTTGCAGTCCAATGTATTTCTGATAAGAGAATTCAGCATTTTATATTCTATAACTTGTTTTGTGGGTGAAATAACACATTGGGATTAGTAATACAGAGAAAAAACTTTCAGTTCACTTTGAAAAGAACCTGTGGAAAATTAGCAAGACTTAATTTATTACGAGCCAGTGAGATGAGAGTGCTGTGTCCTCAGTTTTATGTTTGATGTGTGTAGCTCACTGCTGTGTGTGTCTGTCTGTGTCTGCATGCCACAGCACGTGGAGGTCAGAAGACAGACTTTAGGAGTTGCTGAGACAGAGTCTCCTGTTTCTGGTGCTGAGCAGCACCTTCCAGGCCAGCTGGTTCATAAGCTCCTGGTCAATTCTGTCTCTGCCTCCCATTTTGTCACAGGGGTGAACGACACCATATATATTTTAAAACATAGGCTCTGGGAGCGTCTTTGAGCATTTTTTTCCTACTAAGCCCACTCCCTGACCTTGTATATGTAATTTTTAAGTTACCGCTTTTGCTGTCTTTGAATATAATAGTCTACTCTATTTCTTAGCAAATATTGCTATGGAGAAGTCAGCCATTGGAGGCTTATTTTGATTATTGTCAACTTTTTCCAAGTTTGCTTATCAAATCAGAGTAGCATTATATATATGTACATTGAAATGTGAAAATATGCTATATAAAAGGAATCTATCTTTTATTTTGTATTATATTTTATCTTCATGTTCAGGTATAATGTACTATTTGTAGAATATGTAGAATATAGTATTTTGGGAAATACTTTTTCTATGGGATTAAGCAAGTACTAGAGGCAAGCCTGATACACTCTATATATTTGAGGATGACTTTGAACTTTCATCCTCCTGTCTTTACCTCCAAAATGCTGGGATTATGAGAGTGTGCCCCATGCTTACTTCTGAGATGTCTACTCCCCTGTTGTGAAACAGTGTCTTACGATGGAGCTCTGTCTGTCCTGGAACTCCCTATATAGACCAGGCTGTCCTGGAACTCAACCTGCCTTTTCCTCTCAAGTACAGGTACCCTGAGTTATATACTAAAAATAACAAAGATTACCTTTTCTTGGTAATGCTTAATTATATATTTTATATATATAATTTAATTTAATTATTTCTATATTTTAGAGTATACCTTTTACATTGTGAAAATCCAAGAGCAGCTGGAACAAGTTATCCATTTCTTGTGACAACAATAAATAATATACCAGCCATATTAAGCTTTATTAAGATTGTTATATGTTGCAGTGTTTGCATTTTTCTGAGATAATGAAATCTCCCATCTTGCAAACTTTATAATTCCGACATGGAGTGCTTATGGTTTTTATTTTTATTTTTTTTTATTTTTAAAGATTTATTTATTTTACATAGATGAGTGCTCTATCTACATATACACCTGCATGCCAGAAGAGGGCATCAGATCCTTGCATAGATGGTTGTGAGCCACCATTTAGTTGCTGGTTATTGAACTCAGAATCTCTGGAAGACCAGACAGTGCTCTTAACCACTGATCCATCTCTCCCACTGGACATGGAGTGCTGTTTTGTTTTTAGAGTTTTCTTTGGATTTTCAGTCTCTGAAATTAGGTTGCTGTGAGCACAAAGATCTGTGGAATCCAATTTGAAAATCACTTAATCTATATTCTCTGACCATCTTATTCTGAATGTTCTTTTAGTAAATTATACAAGTTGTTTGTTATTCTGTGTTTTATTTTCAAACTAAATAATTTGAAGTGTCCATCATAGACTAAGCCTCCTGTGGGGCCATTTAGCAATATTTGAGTCACTGTAGTGCTTACAGAAGTGTCAGTAATTTGTCTTAAGCTCATTGATGAAGGAACTTCATAGGAAAAATATTGTTTATTAGTGAAAGCAAGCCAGTTAATGTTTCTGTTGAAAGTCTGAAATAAATTGATAATTTTTGTTATTTAACAAAAAAACTAATTGTTTGGTTTTTAAAAAGATGAAAACAGATGAATTGTATATAGATATTATTGAAACTTACTGCTTAGTCATGCGAAAATAACTTATTATGTTCACTCAGGAATCTGAAGAGAAATATAAAGCTGATAGACGTAAGTGGTTAGAAGAAAAAGCAGTCCTTACTACTCAAGCAAAAGAAGCTGAGAATCTGCGAAACAGAGAGATGAAAAAATATGCTGAAGACAGGGAGAAGCTACAGAATGAATTGGTTGGTAGCAATGATTCTTAGATCTATCTTCTATTTTGATGGCCTTCTCTTCAGAATGCTTTAGTCAAATAATCCCTCTCTTTATAAAGTTACGTTGGTCGTGTTGTCTTATTACAACAATAAAAATAAAACTTACACAAAACTGCTTTTAAAATATACAGTAGGTTGTATTTCTCTCTTGTTAAGGATGCCTAACAGTTTTCGTGTTCATTTGCCGTTTGTACTTCCATCATTAGTGAACTGTGTGTTCTCATGAGCCCAAATGGATTTTCTTGATTTTTGTTTTTGGTGTTTAATATTTGGAGTGCTTTATGTCTAGATAGTACTACTCTTGTCAGATGTATAGCTAGCAAAGATTCTGTATCTTTTTACTTCATCATTTCCTTTACTATGCAGAGCTTTTTACTTTTTTAAAATCCTTAGGTTCTTAAGATTATTTCCTGAGCTAATGGAGAAAGACTTTGCCTATGCTTATGTTTAGAGAGTTTTCCTCCAACAGCTTCAGAGCTTCAGACCATTTGATCCATTTTGAATGTATTTTTGTTCAGGATGAGAGAGATAGAGTCTTAACATGGTATAATAAAGTGGCTATGTTTGTTCATTGTGTTTTGGTATCTTTGTCAAAAATAAGATGTTTGTAGCTGTGTGAGTTTAAGTCTATGTCCTCTTTTCTATTTCCTATGGAAATACATTTGTGTTGCTATGCTAGTATCATGTTTTTTTCATAGTGACTTTGTAATATGACTTAAAATTGTGATTTCTCCATTGTTCCTTTCACTCAGGATTGCTTTGGATATCTAGTGTCTTTGTAGTTGTATATGAATTTTAGAATTGATTTTTTTTCTTCTATTTGTGAAGAGTGTCATTGGAATTTGATGGAAGTTGGATTGAAACTGGATTATTTTTTGATGATGTAGGCATTTTTCTATATATTGGATATGGAGGTCTTTTGTGGTCTAGTGTCTTTCAATTTCTTTGGTGTTTTAAAATTTTCATTGCAGAGGGCTTTCACTTCCTTGGATAGGTTTATTTTTGGGGATTTGAAAAATAAAATACAAATGGAATTGTTTTTCTGGTTTCCCTTTTCAGTTATGTTTATCACGGGTATATGTAAAAGCTGTTGATCTTTGTTCGTGTTTTGTCTGCTGTTACTTTGCTAAAGATGTTGATTAGTTCTGAAACTTCTGTATAGTTTTTATATATAGAAACATACTGTTTGCCAATGGGAATAGTTTGACTTCTTCTTTTTCTATTTTTATATCTTATTTCTTGGCTTATTGCACTAAGACCTCTAGTCTTATATTTAAGAGTGGAAAAAGTGGACACCGTTGTCTCTCTTTTTTATATAAAAAAATGTTATGTCTTTGTCCCCATTTAGTATAATTAGCTATAGGTTTATCACATGACTTGTTTTTTACCATGAAGTGTTGAACTTTGTCAGAGATCTTTATTAATCTGTTAAGACAGTTATGTGATCTCTGTCCTTAAGTCTGTTAGTTAGTGTGATTTACTGCATTTGTTGATTTTTGCGTGATGGCCTACTATTAAATCCCTGAAATTGATCCAATTTGGTAATGGTGAACAATTGTTTTTGTGGTCTAATAGAGTTTGATTTATAAATAATTGTTTTAGAAATTCTGTATCCATATTCATCATGGAGATTATTTTTACATGTTTGGCTTTGGTATGAGTGTAATCTGGCTTTGAAAAATGAGTTTAACAGTATTCCTAGTCTTTCTGTTGTATGCATAGTTTAAGGAGCATTGGCACACCTCACGTTTTGCCTCTCTGTATGTCTGAACTCATATGTCATCAGGCTTGGTAGACCTGCTGAGACATCTCATGGCCCTAGCTTTTCTAAGACCTCAAGGTGTGTATCATTGAGTTTTGAGATTTTTCTCATTTATTTACTTATTTGCTTTTGTGCTAGGCCTTATACATGCCATTCTGACCTAGGATTATATAAAATTTCAAAATAGTTTTAATTTGTATTCCCTCAAGTGTTATGATCTTGCCTGATACAAATTCCAGTCTGGAATCTAGGTGTTCCTTGCAGATGGCAGTTTTATTCTGACCTGTCTTTCACAGTCTTCGTGGGAGATCCTGTTCATGACTCTATGTGATCTGTCATTGGCCTCCTGATGACCCTTCATTGGCCAAGTTCCTAATCTCTTCAGACCACTGAATATGTCCTTCATTGGTAGTTTTGGTTAATACTCATCACACCATTGATTGGTCCTGGCCTCATGTGTATTACCAGCTGATGATGGCTCGGACTACATTTCTGCTTGGCTGAATACTGTGTTTTTCTGATTCAGAGTTTCTTCCTTTCTGCCTAAAGGTGTCCTGAAGGCTGTGCTTCAGTGTTTAGTTAGTGACACTTGATCTGGGTTCCCAGAGTGTAGTTCATAGAGGGCCTGGAGTAGCCAAGTTGTGGATTACATTGGGCTTTTAGAACTGTTTTTTTTTGGTGGTGTGCCAAGAGGAAAGGTCTCCCACTGCCTTCCTCTACTGATCTATTGATATACTTCACAGGACTTTTGACTCCTTTTTCTCTCTTAAAGTGCTTGTTACAGAAAGTACAAAGTTTTCTGAGGCTATATTAAGCTCTGGTGCTGATTCTCCATCTGAATCTCTCTCACTGGAAGGAAAGACCTTGTAGTGGCTCTGGACTTTCTCATTTTTGTTATGCAAAGATTTCTGCTTTCCTCTGCAATTAAAACTAGGAACTTTCAGTGTTTACTTACCTTTTAATTATAGCTGCAGCAACTCTCCAGGTTATTCCTTGGGGATGCCAGCAGTTTCCACATTTAGATTTTCTATGTTTTCTTTAGTCTGACACAGTATTTCAAGCTTGTTTGATTGAACCCAGTACAAATGAATCTTTTAAATGTTTATTTTTATTTTAATTAATTTTCTTTTGCTATTTTTATTTGACGAGTATGGCTGTTCTACATGTTTGACTGTGTACTGTGTGTGTGCCTGGTGCTTTCAGAGGCCAGAGAGTATGTTGGGTCTTCTGGAACAGATGGTCTTGAGCTTTTGTGTGAATGCTGAAAATTGAACCCAGTCCTCCAGAAAAGCAGCCCGTCCTCTTTAACTGCTGAGTTGTCACTTCAGTGTCTCATTTCATTTTCCTATTTTTAATAACTATGAAGTGTGTCATTTGTTTTGCTGTAATTTTATTTTTTATTATTCAAATATTGTTGGAAATAATATAAAAATACCATAATTATTTATTGAAAGAAATCACCAGTAATATGATTATTTTAAAGGTGTGATCAAATATGATTCTACAAATATGATTCGTAGAAATTATTTTTTTCTGCTTTTAGCCAGGTCTCACTCTATAGTCTTGGCTAGCCTGGGAACTCACCATGTAGGACCAGGTTGGCTTGGGACTCATAGAAATCACCCCTCCTCTGCCTCCAGAGTGTTAGGATTAAACATGTGACCCAACACTCCTGGCATCTGTATTTAAGAGATAAAATGATATTTTGTGTTTTACAATCATTGAATGCGTAATATATTGTATGTTATATTCATTGTGTTATATTTAATAAAAATTTTAAAACATTTTTAGATTCATTACAGAGATTTATATTTCCAGCACTCAGGGAGGCAGAGGCAGGTAGATCTCTGTGAGTTCGAGGCCAACCTGGTCTACAAAGCAGTCCAGGACAATCAGGGCAACACAGGGAAAACCTGTCTTGATTAAAAAACAAACAAACAAGATTTTTGTTAAAATTTTAAATTAATATTTTTAAGTTGGGAGACAAGGTGATGGGTTCCATTTTGGTATTTTTACACCTATGTCATTATACTTCAGTATCTTTTGTGCTTGTGGACTAGGAAACATTGACAGCACAGCTGGCCGAGAAAAGTGGTGACCTTCAGAAGTGGAGGGAAGAGCGGGATCGGCTGGTCACAGCTGTGGAGACACAGATGAAGGCTCTGCTCTCCAGCAGCAAGCATAAGGACGAAGAAATCCAGCAACTGAAAAGGGCCGCTGCAGAGCGCACAGGCATGGTCAGCAGATTCTTAGTCTTTCTGTACCTTCTTGTTGAACATAAGACTTCCTCAAAATTACTTCTCACTTGTACTTACTGAGCCCAGTAGAAAGGAACCAAACACTTGAAAATTTTGGATATTTTTCATGGATTTTAAATTTTAAGAGTTTATTATTATAATTGATTTGTCAGTGGCTAAAACATAACACCTTCTCTTAATACCCTGCTTATATTTCCTTTATTAAAGCAATTGAAAGTCTCCAATTTAGGGTTATCTTAATTTTTCTTGAAATTGTAGTTTTGTGAAGTTTTGATGAGACTTGAACAATTAATCAATTAATTAAATAATTAATTTTTAAAAATTGGAGTGCTCTCAGTTTAGCTCTATCTGTTCTGGAACTTATGGAGATATAAAGTCATGTACCACCAATGCACCAATTCTAGCCTACCCTTAATTTTAGTATGTGAAGATACAAAATATTTTTAAAGTAAGTAGAGTGATAGAGAGGCATCATGAGTTGGCAAAAGCAGCTACTTTTATAATTGGAGTTGGAAATCCTAAGGGCAGCGCTTGTCTTTTATAGGTAGCACATCCTGACTAACATTCAGGACATATTTGAAACTACACTTTCTGGAATGAATTATCCATAATTAAAGTTGGCTGGGGAATGTGGAGTTCAAGGGTGGAAGGCTTGGTATGTGCAAAGTTCTGGACTCAGTCCTTAGTTCTGCAAAATGAAACAAAATTGTTGCTCTAGTTAGGCGTGGCAGCACATACCTAGAGTCCTCAGCGTTTCAGAAACTGAGGTGGAAGGCCAGCCCGGATGTAGAACCAGACTTCATGCATGTAAGTGTGTAGTGTGCATTTTTGTGTGTGCCATACATCATTTCTTACATAAGAAAACCTTCCTACAAAAAGATGTAGTATCATGCTGTATAAATAGCACAGAATAGGAAGCTAGGAAAACTAGATCTTGACTGCTGTCACTGTGATTAAAGATCCCTGTGGGAAATTACTGAGCATTTCTAAACTATCTAAAATAGGCAATGTGTTAGGTATGGTAGCACATTTTTAATCCTGGAGCTTAGGAAGCAGGTAGAACTGGATCTGTGTGAGTTTGAGGCTAGCCTGGTCTACATAGCAAGTTCCAAGCCTGACAGGGCTGCATAGTGAGACTGTTTTAAAAAACCAATCAATAAAGTAGGGAACACTGTCTTAAAGGTAGCAAGTACAGTCTTAACTACAGGGGAAGCCAGTGTTTGTGAGTTGCTTTCCCCATTATAAATGCAGTAGAGTCTTGTTTCTTTGCCAATACTAAGGAGGTAACATGGGTACATTTGGATGGATGGCTGAGCTAAGATAAACATTGGATTTTATTAACTTAAAATATGTAATATTTCTATTTGGATTTTATTAACTTAAAATATGTAATATTTCTTTTATGAGTCACATTAGTATGGTTTTGGAATAGGCCCTATCTTAAAGGAAAATCACAAGAATGACTTGTAAGAAAAGATTTAGTTACTATTTTCTCTAGAAGTCTTAAGGTTGGTTGCATTACTTATCCTCTACTTTTCTTACACCCTTTTTTTAAACATATATTTATTTTGTGTGTGTGTGTGTGTGTGTGTGTGTGTGTGTGTGTGCATGTGTGTGCGTTCATGTACATACAGACCACAACATGCTTCTGGATGTCAGAGGATAAACATAGAATTGGCTCTTGCCCTCTGCTTTGTAGGTTATGGGATCCAACTCAGGGTCAGTCTGTTATGGCTTGGTGGCATGCGTCTTTATTTGCTAAGCCATCCTGCTAACCCACCTCTAGTTTTTAAAAAATTATTTTATCAAAATTGGGATTTAAGTTTTAGTTAGCTAAGTAGAGATTCTGTCATTTAACACAGCTTGGTCTGTCACTTTGTTTAGAAGATGCCCATACTCATTGCATAGGTCAGAAGATAACATTTGGAACTCAGTTCTTATCTTCCACCATGGGTTCCAGAGATGCCATTCAGGTTGTGAGATTTGAGATGCAGCAGCTTCTACCTGCTGAGCAACCCTACCAGCCCCATTCTGTTTTTTGCCTTTTGCTTTTTGAAGCAGGGTATTACTATGACCTTGAACTCACGATTGTCCTGCCTCAGCTTCCTGCTGAGTGCTGATTACAACCATTCACCACTATGCCCAGCTAAAAGTGATTCTTCCAGACTTAACTATACAATTATAACAAAAGTACAATGTTAACTGGGTTCAGTCTTTCAAATTTCATCTGTGTCTGACTCAGAAGAGGCTGGTAAGTTGCCCAGCCTTTCTTGAGTCTAAAGATGAAAATGTTGAAGCAGTGAAAAGTGTTTTATACCTACATTTCTAATACATAGTCTGTACAAATCTTATTTTCAAAAATTCTATGTTAAGTATTTATTTTCAGATTAATAGTAATTTTATTTAATGTTTCCTTATTTCAGGAAAACCAAACCATGAATCTCAAGTCTGAATATGATTCATTCAGTCCTGGTGGAGTTGAAACTGAACCTCAATCAACAAGTTTTAAAATTTCTAGAAATCCAGCAGAGGTTGGTATTTGGTAATATAACCACTTCTTTGCTCTCCTCACCTGCTATTAATCATCAGCAAGTATAATGCAATCAAGTATTGTACGTACCTTGCTACATAATTAACTATGTATATGCTCATCTATGTGAAGGAAAATTAGACGCCCTTGTGAAATTAGACCCCTAGATTACATTTGTCTTTTATTTATTTATTTATTTTAGTTTAGTTTCTTTATTTTTGGAGGGGTTGGGGAGGGTCAGTATGTGTGCCACACAGCACATGTAAAGGCCAGAGAAAACTTGGGAAGCTGATTCTCTTCTTCCACCTTTTTATAGGCTGTGGAGATCAAGCTCAGATCATCTCACAGGCTTTTGCTTCCTTTTAAAATGTTAATAAAAATAAACTTGATGATCAGAAATAGAATATCTTATAAAAGATAAAATAAAGGTCAATTTTTGTTTTCATAGTATTTTGCTTTGAAATTGTATCTGTTGTAATAACTACCACCAACATCTTATAGCCATGGGAACTCACTTCATTTTTATTGGATTTAGAGTTTTGTGTTTAAGTTAGAATTTCTCAGTTTGAATTATTAAGTACATAAATAATGTGCTATAGTACCTAAATGTTTCAGTTATTTTAAATTTCTTTTTTAATCATTTATTGAGCTTACTCAGCATTGGGAATTTTGCTAAGCAACAAGGGCACAAATGAGACATGATTGTCATCTGCAAAGAGTTAGGAATATTGGAGACAAGTATCTGGTATAGAGTAGTACTACTGTAGTAGAAGCATAGAAGGAATCCCAAGGCACATAGTATTTTGCCTGAGCTGTTATGGGGTGGATTAGAGAACATAGTATCATGCCAACAGTCCTTCTGCTCTTCTCTTGCTGAGCACGTTATGGAGCATTATTTTCCTTATAAATTTATATACTCTGTCCTAAAGTCTCATGGTTCCAGTTGCCTATGTGTAATTCTAGAAGTTTTTGTCTATTTCATGATTTTGGAGGAATCAAATGTAGCATTCTCTTTGGTATATTTTTACTGTCTTTGTAACATTGACACCATCAATGAGGCTGAAAGACCAAGTGACTTATTTTGCATGGTGGTAGCTGAAAAGATGTTATGTGTGTGTGACCTCTGCTGAGGGTTGAGCCTCTCACAGTATGGTGGCTGGATTTGGGCTTGGGATGTTTTCAATAGGGGAAGTATCCTGAAAGCATGCCAAGGGGACAAGGTCAGGGTGGAAGTGACAGTGCTCCTGTGATTGTTATTTAAAGAACCGTGTTGTCCAGTAACTTCTAGTAGCCATGGGAACCATGAAAGGGAAAGAGACTGAAAGACCCCTTTCCTAAATGGAAAAAGTCGCAAAGCATTTCTTGCTAGAGTTAAGTCTAATATAATTGGGGTGCTTTTTTAAAACACCAAAATTTTCATTGGAGGTTTCTGTCTCAGTGGGTTTTATAGTGAGGTCCAGTAATCTTTTACATATATCGATCTTAGGATTATAAATATTTGGGTAATGCCAGTCTCTTAAGTTGCCTCTAACTCATTTGTGGGTAGAGAGTAAAACCAGGTCTTTGGTCTATGCCCTAACCCTGTTTTCCCTACTTTAATGTACATGTGAAACCTGGAGCGTGCAAATAATATACCAGTCTTTTGTTCTTGCCATTGTGCACCACAGTCCTTTCTCTTTCTCAGGTCATTGTCTTGAACATTATTTTAGAAAATTGATTCTTTGTGATTACAAAAATAAATGACACTTCTCCTGTTTTTATATTGTTAGGATGGATCTGTAGTTCTTGACTCCTGTGAAGTATCAACAGAAAATGTACAAAGTACTCGATTTCCAAAACCTGAATTGGAGATTCAGTTTACACCTTTGCAGCCAAACAAAATGGAAGTGAAGCACCCTGGTTGTGCCACACCAGTCACAATTAAGATTCCCAAGGCTCGGAAGAGGAAGAGCAATGAAATTGAGGAGGTAAGTGGTTATCTGATGTGTAAACTTAGCAAGCAAATACTGCTCTTAAGTTCAGTTGTAGTTATAGCTAAGTTTGTTGCTACTATTCTGCTCATAAGAACTCATTCTAAAGACCCACGTCATAAATTTATGGCATGTTTTGTCGCCTTTAAGAATGATACAGTAGCTTCATAGTCCTCAGAAAGCTGTGCTTATTAGTTTATTCCTTGATTCATCTGTAGTAGGTCAGATGATGGTAGATTTTACCAGACGACTATTTTAATACACTAGTATGTTCCAACTAGTTGCACCATCTCCAATGGAGTGGGGAATGTCTGATGAGGAAACCAGAGAAACTCAAGTGATGAGCTTACTTGGTCAGTGGCTTTGTCTTTGAACTAACACCTTAAGTCTCTGCGATTGTGGGAAGTTTAGGAAAATAAATTCTTTTTCCATCAGCCAGTGTTAGGATTTGGATCTTCATGTAGTCATGGTTAAAGTTTTTACCACTTGTTAGTGCAGCTTCTTGATGGCAGGGTTGCCAGGCTTTGTATTGCCACGTTGATAGAGTTACATAATTCTTCTGGTCCTTCCTTCTCTGAAGTAATATATTAATGTGTTATGTTTTTTTTTTTAATTTTTTATTTTACATGCTTAAATGTGAAGGTATCAGATCCCTTGGAATTGGCTTTACAGACAGTTGTGAGCTGCCATGTGGGTGTTGGAAATTGAACCCAGGTCCGTTGGAAGAGCAGACAGTGCTCTTAACCACTGAGCCATCTCTCTAGTCCCAGTGTTAATGCTTTTAAAATGCTTCTTTTTCTCTTTCTGTGGGAAGTATATAATAAATGATAATACTTAGTTTTTAAAGTTACTCGTTTTATGCTTAAAATGTCTGGCAAAAGATCTTTTTCCAATTTTCTTTTACTCCTTTAAAGAGTAATCTATTTTCAAGTGGTGGAAGAATAAAAATAGTAGTTATTATATTCCTGAGGCTGGCGGTTTTCAGGTAACATATTCCCTGTGTGACTATCATTGAGCAGAGCTTTCTTGTGATTCATAGAGTACCTTGAGTCTTAGTTAAATTTTTAAAGTTGTTTTTGTTTTTAAGATAAGCATATTTTTAATATGACTAAAATATTTGAATTTCATCTTCTCTGCTATATTGACTTTTCCTTGGTACGTTTTCCCTTAGTATTAAGAAGGATTTGGTATGTCTGATTTTGGTACGTCTTCACTATTGTAATAAATCAGCCCTTTGGCCCCTGTGAAAATATATTTAACAGTGCTCCAGTAAATTCTTCTAGAAGCTTTTTACTGAGCTTTCCAAATGGGATGGTCCAGCCTTGGCATCTTTATTTGCTTCTCATGATTACTGTTAAACTTTTCATATAGTCTGCTTATGACACAATCTATACCCTCTACTTTGTTACTTGGATTCTGATGTTTGGCTGTGATGTCTTCTCTCCTTCTCTACTTGTACTTTCCTCATTTCATGTATATGTGTACTCTTTTATTTACAGCTAAGATGATAGCAGGTAAGTTCAGAAATATACTCCCCAAAGTCTTCATCCTATGTAAGGTTGTGTGGGGAAATGAAGAGTAAGATGCTATGCCCATTTAGGAAAGATGAACTATTATAATATTTCTTTTTTTCTTTTAAGAAAGATCTATTTGTTTTCATTTTATGTGGATGAGTGTTTTGCCTGCTTATATTTGTGTACACCGTATGGAAGTCACAAGAGGGTGTTAGATACCCTGGAGCTGGAGTTACAGATGGTTATGGGAATCAAACCTGGGTCCTTTGAAAAAGTAGCTAGTGTAGTTTATTTTTGTTTTTTTTCTTGAGACAGGATCTCTTTGCATAGCCTTGACTGCTAGAACTCACTGTATAGACTAGGCTGGCCTTGAACTCACAAAGGTCTGTCTGCCTCCTGTGTGCTGGAATGAAAGGTGTGTGCCACACTCAGCTATAGAGGAAGTACATTTGTTGAGCTTCACTGCTGAGATGAATCATCTTTCCAGCTCTTGGCTTATGCCACTTCCTATTTCCCCTTTTTACCTTTGTGAAGTTTTAGTTATTTATATATTTTTATGTATCCAGATTTCAATGAGAGCTCTTAGGCATGTATGTTTTGGAGATGGGAACTGATTTATGTGGACCTGTACATTATTTAAAGTGAAGTTCAGGAGAAGCATGTTCTTGGAGGTTCTCCACTGATCTCAGGCCATCCCATTGCTAAGTTCTCACTTTGACCCATGGTTTCTCAACCTCAGTACAACTCGTGTTCTAAGCTGGGGCTCTCTTTGTTGTGGGGCCTTGTGATTTATATTTTTGTTTTTTACCCACTAGTTGCCAGTAACATGTTCTTTTTCTCCACCCAAAACAACCAAACATTTTCCAACATTGATATTGAATTTTGAATACAAGATGCCCCTGTTGAAGAGCTGTTTTAATTAGTAATGTAGCATTTATAGATATTCTTTTTGAGTCTAAGGAAATTATTGTCAAGAAAGTAAGCAGTGCTGAAATTCATTACTTTTAGGACTTGGTGAAATGTGAAAATAAGAAGAATTCTACATCCAGATATAATGTGAAGTTCCCCGTTTCAGAGCAAAGCAGTTCCTCTGTCAAGAAGGAACAAAAGGTTTGCCCTTGTTTTACCTGACTGCTTCTATAATTTATGTGATAAAGTAGGAGCTTAGATTTAAGATTTCACATTTTGAGTAGTAGTATTCCAAAAATTCAGTTGTGTTCAATTACAACTCACATCTAATTTCCTACACATGTAATTCATATTGGGAAGTTGCCTATTAGCAGGCATTTTTTTTATCAGTGACAAAAAAGTGTTTGTTTCTTAGGTTTCCTTATGTCCATCATCTAAGAAAACCTACTCATTACGGAGCCAGACATCTGCAGTTAGTGCAAACATAGCCTCTAAAAAAAGAGAGGGAACACTACAGAAATTTGGAGACTTCTTGCAACATTCTCCAACAATTCTTCAATCAAAAGGTTTGTAGAATAGTTAAATGGCCTTTTCTAATACAGGTAGAGTGCTTTCTAATGTCTAGTTGCATATACACTTAACAATTTACTAAGTCTGATGCTTAATGCCAACAGGCCTTGTCTTATCCTGGGTACTGTGGGAAGAATCAGAAGAAAAAATGATGTTCTTAAGTGTTCACTATGTATTGGAATAGAAAGGCTCACATTTAAGTAACTGATTTAGATAGAGCAGGCTGCTTAATACAGTAGAGATAATATAAAGGGGTAGATAGTACTGGAGGAGGGAGAAAGACAGGATGATGAGGGATTTTTGGGAAAACTTTTTAGGAAGTAAATGGGATGTGGGCATAGAAATGTAGGATTGCACCCTTTGACCTTTTGGAAGTAATTGCTGTTAGTACTCTGTATGCTTGCAGTGGTTTTGTGTTTGTGTTACATATTTATAAACATTAACTATTTCTATAGATAAGACCGTGCCATATCATAGTCCATCATTGCATAGGTCAGGAACTCAGGCAGAGATCATGAAGGGGCAGTGACATTAATATGGACATGTTTTATAATATACAACTTTGTTAAGATAAGTACCATCTATATTTATATACATACGTATGTGAATATTCACCACAGGGAATAGTTTTAATGCTGGTAGAATATAGAATACCAGAACAGTATAAAATAAATGTACATGTAATTCCAGGTGAGGAGACAGTGTGTAGAGATGCCTTGTGGGATTTCCTGAGTGATAGCAATGAAATCAGTTGGAGACCAAAATGATAGCCATGAAATCAGTTGGAGACCAAAAGGGGGGAAGATGGGGAAGGAAAAACTAAAATCATGGTTGACTCAAGACAGAAAGTACTTTGTGAAGGCCAACTGAAAGTTGCCAGACTGTTTTGATCAAGTGCTTTTAATGTCTCAGCAGGAAATTTAAAAATTTCTAGTCTACTATGCAGAATCTATCCACTATTAACGGTTTGGTGTGTGTGTGCGTGTATGCGTGCCTGCATGCGTGTATGCGGGCACAGAAAGTTTTGGTGACTATGTGGTTATTGACTATACAGATAGGCATCTTGATATGTGACTATCAGTAGATTTACCACTTTATTTCTTTATTCATTTATTTCATTTATTTAGTGTTTTGAGTTTTTGAAACAGGGTCTTTCTGTATAGCTTGAAACTCAAGTTCTTCGTGCCTCATTCTCCCAGGTGCCAAGATTATAGGTGTATATATCACACCTGACTTTACCTCCCTTAAATCTGCAGGCTTACCACAGATAGACCCAGCTCTGGGTAGAATAACTCATTAAAGATGCCGGAGTCTCACTGATATTTCTTTGGTTTTTCTCTCTTCTCTCTGCTGAATGTTATTGGATGTATTTCTTTATCAATCATCTAGTCATATCTTGTCACCATTTATGTAGTGCACTGTTTTCCTTAATTTATATGTATTTTTCATAAAGAATTTCAAACCCTTGCAGTTAGAAAATTAACACAAGAACTAACATTTTTACTTACAGCAAAAAAGATAATTGAAACAGTGAGTTCCCCAAAGTTCTCAGCTGTAGAAGTGAGTAAAGAAAATGTGTCTCAGCCAAAAAAACCCAAGCGGAAATTATTCAGAAATGAAATTTCATCTCCCATCAACATATCTGGCCAAGTGGTAAGCTAATATTTTAGTTTTCATCAATGTAAAACTATAGACTTTCTATTTGGTTCTGATGTGTTTGTAACAATTTGAAATTTATTATTTTTAATTTCTTTCTAAAATTTATTTTTAATGTGTATGGGGATCTTGCTACTGTGTATCTATGTACCACATGCATACCATATACACAGGTGTTACACTTTTTCTCAAGTATATTAGCCTTAGAATAATTAAATACAAATACCAAAATAATTGGCACACACACGTGTGTATCATGCAGTGGCATTTCAAGTTTCATCAGAGTAATATGTTCCTATCAGTAGAACTATCACAAGTTATTTATTTTAAAGAACTATTCTTCCTTGTGATATCATTTTTAAAAGGGTTGCATAAATCTGGGTCTGTGTACCTATGAGAAACAGAAAATTGATTTTTCACCATTTTCTCTCACCTTTCCTCTATAAACCTTCCAGGTTTTTATTCTGCTCTTTTTTAAAATTTATTTTTATTTTATTTTATTTATTTGAGTAGTTTGTCTATATGTATGTATAAATATAGACCATTTGTCTAGTACCCTTCGAGGATAGAAGAAGGCGTTGGAAGCCCTGGACCTGGAGTTGTGGAGGGTATTGAGCTGCCTGTATTAGAAACTGAACTCAAGTCTTGTGCATGAACAGCTGTGTTCTTAACCATTGAACCATCTCTAGTTTTGGGATGAGGCCTCACTGTGTAGTCCAGGATGGCCTCAAGATTGTAGTGCTCCTGCCTCAGCCTCCCTGTTGCTGGGATCATTGGTGTGTGCTTGCACACCTAGCATTCTTCAGGCCTTTTTAAGAAAAAGAGGTTGTTGTCAATCTGTTCATCGTCCCTATGAGAGCTGTTACAGGAAAAATTCTCATTTCTTAGTGGATGAAAGTGAAAGTAGAAAAATAATTAAGATTTCATCAGGAAGTGTCTAAGAAAAATAAGAGAGACCTGATTTTGCAATAGTAGTTATCAAAACTAAGACTGGTGTCATAAGGCAGCTGGAAAATAGTTAGCGTCAGTTAGGATTTGTTTCTTGTACTGTTGTAGTCACATTTTGCCTTCTCTTAGCAAAAGACAAATACCTATGTCTACAGATTGCTTTTCTTAAGTTAGAATGGAGTTTGATTTCCACTGTCGTTAGACCTTTAATGCTATGAAGGGTGACTTCCTAAAATTAGTTTGAGGTATTTTTGTCCAAATATTTTAGTAAATATTTTAAGCTCAGATCTGCCTTGACTTCAGTACAAACAAACACCTATAGTCTAATTCTTGAATTAGGTAATGTCGAGTGAGTATTATATAAAATCTTTTCTTTCACATCTATTTGTTTAGAAGATGAAAAATGAAATTCTGATGTACTTACTGTAGTCAGTGATTAAGCACATAAACATATAACTCATAAGCAAATTATTTTTACCTATATTTGAAAAACTGAATTGTTAATTTCAGATTTTAATGGAACAGAAAGCAAAAGAAAGTGATCATCAGATCCTCAAACGACGGCTTCGAACGAGAACAGCCAAGTAAATTGCTTTAGGAGACTGTTTCAGTATATATTTCATATACACAATAATTGTAAATTGTAAGTTTTAAAAGTTAATTGTATATATTGTAATGCATCAAATGTCTTTGTATAGATTGGTGTTTTATATATAACTTGAATTCAATAAATATATCAACAATATACTTGTATACTTTAAAAGGCTCTTAAATTTTTTCTCTATTGTGTTTGCTTGCTTGCTTATGTGCTTGCTACAGCACATATGTAGAGGACAGAGGGCAATTAGTAAGAATCTAGATAGAAGTTGATTCTCTTCTTCCAGTTGGTTCCTAGAGATTGAACACAAGGTTTCACACTTGATGGCATATAGAATGTAGGTAGGCACATTGGTCTAAAGTAATCTCTTTAATTGGATGCTTATGTCTTGTTAATTTGTAGGGTGAGAAATCTTATTCTGAGTCCCAAGTACCGTTCTCCTGTTCAGCTCTTAGTGAGGGGTGGAGTAGAGCAAGGCAGTGGCCTAGGACTCTTCAGAGCAGGGGTCCCTGCCTGTGATTGTCTTTGCATTGCTCCAGAGCCTCACTGAAGGCCTTGAACAGGCGTGGGTGGGTAGTAGAACAGTCGGAACTGCTTGATCTCATAGGAGGAGGGCCCCATCTGTCTGGGGTGTGAGGTAGGGCAGGCTTGGCAGCAGAGGTGGGACCTGGAGTCCAGTAAGAAGCATCAACTGTAACAATTACCTGGTGCCAGGAACGAGCTGGATTATTCTTTATAAGTAAATAAATTAATTAATAAATAAATTAATTAATTATTACAATTTATTCACTTTGTAGCCCCCTCCCTTGTCCCCTTCCAATTCCACACTCCCTCCTTCTTCTCCCCCCTAGGGGTGGTGGTCCTCCCCTTCCATCTGACCCTAGCCTATCCTGTCTCATCAGAACTGGCTGCATTGTCTTCCTCTGTGGCACGGAAAGGCTGCTCCCCACCTCAGGGGGAGGAGCCAGCCACTGTTCCCCTTACTAGGGAACCTACTTGGAGACTGAGCTACTATGGGCTACATCTGTGTAAGGGGGCCTAGGTTATCTCCATGCATGGTCCTTGGTTGGAGTATCAGTCTCAGAAAAGACCCCTGAGCCCAGATTGTTTGGCTCTGTTGCTCTCTTTGTAGAGCTCCTATCCCTCCAGGTCTTTCTGTCTCCCCCTTCTTTCATAAGATTCCCTGTACTCTTTCCAAAGTTTAGCTGAGTCTCAGCATCTGCTTTAATACCCTGCTGGACAGAGTCTTTCAGAGGCCCTCTGTGGTAGGCTCCTGTCCTATTTTCTCCCTCTTCCAATGTCTATCCTGTTTGCCTTTCTGAATGAGGATTGAGTATCTTACCCAGGGTCCTCCTTGCTTAGCTTCTCTAGGTGAACAGATTTTTGTTTACAGGTTGTAGGGGTTCTTATTTACAGAATTTATATTTCTATTAGGAATGTTACAAAAATCAGGAATTCTGACTTAAGTGATAAGTCAGAATGAGGACAGGAATTTGAAAATCATTTTCTCATTGGTGTAATAATCTTTGTGAAGAAATTCCACTAAGGTTATAGAAGGTTTGATAATTTTATACATCTCTACTTTATGTTTACTGGAGCCATTTCATCTCTTTTCCCCATATTAATTAGTTTATATCATTATTATAAAACAGAATGGAACATTTACACAGTGGAATACTACTCAGGAATTAAAGACAAGGAAATCATGAAATTTGCAGGCAAATGATGGGAACTAGAAAAGGTCATCCTGAGTGAGGTATTCCAGAAGCAGAAAGACATGGTATATACTCACTTAGTGGATATTAGCCATACAATACTGGATTATACTTTTTGATTCAAGAAAATAACATTCTGAAGAATAAAACAAAAGCGGCATTCCCCTTAAAATTCAGGCTGAGCCGTGCTGCTGCTAAGATTGCTACCATCAGCCCTGGAAAAGGTGTTCAAGGCAGAACCAATGTAGACTGCAGGTGAATGGAGGTGCAGAAATGGAATCGGAGTGGAGGCTAGTTAGTCTCAGATGACTAACTGCCGATTTGAAACAGCAAGAAAGTAAGTCCTGTTTACCATGTATTAATTACTTTTCTATTGTTGGAAGAGACATGACAAAGGCAACGTGTGAACGAGAGCAGGAATTGGGGGCTGACTTTCTGTTTCAGAGGGTTAGTCCTCGATCATTGTTGGGAGTGTGACAGGCAGGCATACATGGCACTGGAGCAGTAGCTGAGAACTTAAATCCTGATCCACAAGCAGGATGCAGAGAGGGGGCTGAGGGTGGGGAGCATATCTGAGTGCCATTTGTAGACCGGCATAAAGAAATTTAGAATGCTGAGGACATACAAAGGACAAAAAGAAAACAACCCTGGGAAAGGATACTCTTAGATTCAAGAACAAAGTGATAAAAAACAAAAACAAAAAAACATTGCTAAAGTCTTGATGAAGTGAAATTCACATGAAAACAATCATAATCATTCAGAGAAGTTCCTTCTGGCAGAAGATGGTAATTAACATGTCTGCAACCGGACAGTGTGCAGTGAGAAACTTTGGAGCATTCAGTCTTAAATGGGATGTCTTTATGAAAACCCTCCCCTGAAGTCTCAGGGATCCACAAGTAAGAGGAGGTTGACTCCAAAGAAACAGTCACTTTGAGACAAAATTGATAAGATTGACATCATGCATAAGACCTAAATCGGTTCAAACTAGACAAAATTACCACACTGAGAAGAGGAAGTAGACAAAGTCCCACACAAACCAAGAAGCTATTTGCAATTAATAGCTGCTGGGAAAAGGAAAAGCACTCTAGGGCAGACCCTTTGAGCTCCCCCCAGGAAAAAATTACATCTCTTCCCTCCCTCTCTCCCTCCCTCTCTCCTTGCCTCCCTTCCTTCCTCCTTTACTCCCTCCTTCCTTCTTCCTTTCTTCTGCATGCACTTGTTTTGTTTTGGTATTTTCCTTGTCTTACTGGTTTTCTTTTTTAATTTGGTAGGTAAAGAGTTGGAGAGGATATCAGAAGGGAGAGGGAAAATCATTGTAAAAGGTTTTTTTTGTTGTTTTTTGTTTTTTGTGAGTGAAAATTAGAATTAGTGGTTGAGGGTGCTTGTTGTTCAGTGGCATAGTACTTAACTTTTATGTACAACCTCTGGGTTCTATCCTTAGAAGGTGTGTACACACACAAACACTGAGGGTAAAACAGGAAGAAAATCAGTTACTTTTGTGTTTTTTCTCTACATGATGACCCACCCATGCCAACTGTTTGTACATTGTGAATTTTATTATTATTTTATGTGTGTGGATGTTTTGCCTACATATATGTCTGCACCACATGTTACATGGTGCCATCAGAGGCCAGAAGAGTGTGTCAGATTCTCTGGAACTAGAGTTATAGATGTTAGGCACCGTGTGGGTGCTGGGAATTGAGTTCAGACAGGTGTTCTTAACTGCTGAGTCACCTCTCCAGCTCGTGTTTTTTTCATTTTTACTGTGTTGTGTGGTATCAACAGTTTCACAGGTCTACTGTAGCTAGGATTTGGGGAGTAGACATGCACAGGTGCTTTATTTGCTGAAGTATGTGTGCATGTTTAGAAAAGATCCTTGGACTTTAGTTAGAATCTACTACCCCCCCCCCCAAGCCTCCTTCCCTCTCTCCCTTCTTTTCCTTCCTGCTCTTTATGTATACCTGCTGACCAGAAGAGGGCATCAGATCCCTTTCTAAACGGTGGTGAGCCACTATGTGGTTGCTGGGAATTGAACTTAGGATCTGTGGAAGAGCAGCCAATGCTCTTATCTGCTGAACCATCTTCTTAAAGAAATTTTAAACTTGCACCTTAGAAAATAACGTTTTCTTCCTTTTACAAGTGAAAAGATCAAAATCTGTCAAGTTTCCTTTTGTTGTGATATAGCTAATGTACGTTGAGCTAATAGCCACACAAACACACAGCTAATAACTACATTAGCACAAATGCACAGAAATCTCAAAAGTTATTGCCTACCAGGGCATTTTAAATATAAAAACATTTAAACATCTAACAGCTTAATGTCTCGTTGTTTTTTAGCAGTGCTTACTTGATTGTTATAGCCATGCCAGTAAGAAAAAACATTTTCAGTGTTTTATTTAGGAGAAATTGTATCTTTAAGAGTAACTTTCATCAGAGTAGTTATTATATTCAAAATCTAAGTGCTTAAAGAGTGTTCATTGTGCTTTCTAGAAAAAAGTGGTTGTTCCTCATTACTCACAGACTCCAGGCTTGCAAATCTGCTTACTTGGTAAGGCCTATTTGTGTATCCAAATGAATACTACACAGTTGTTTGTAGAAAGGAGCAATGTGGCCAGAAAGTTACCCTGTGTTTGGAGTTGAGGTTGAACAAGGCAATGCTCTTATAAATTTGAAAACTGAAAGATAGAAAAAAAATGAGATAAAGAATCCAGGTACATTTAACAGCATGAGGAAATGAATATATTGCATACAAGCTGCTCACTGGAAGGAATTATTTGTAATGCATTAATTTGGCAAAGGACTTGTTAGTCATGATGTATCCTTTTATTGAATCCACTCAGAGAAATGCATCACTAAGTGATGTTTATCATTAAATGCATGTAGTTTTGATTCTGTTAAGGATTGTAAATATCTGATATGCCACCTTCAGAGGTTTGTGGTCCATTGGTTGGGAGCTACTGGAGAGGGCAAGGGTGGTGGTGGGGTCTTGGAAAGTGGGATTAATGGACATGAACTAAAAGGAAGATGGGTCCCTGTTCTGATTGTATGTCTATATGCAGTTGGAAAGAACTGTCAACTTGAATTATATGAATTTTACCTTAGCTGCAAAAAGGAACTGTATTACATGTACATCTGCATGCTCGTGCATGTATGCATACACACTCACATGTATGAACTTGTGTGTATACACAAACACACAAGCATTATTGTTTAGAACAGCCAAAATCATAAAAACTGACAAAACCAAGCGAAAGCTTACAGTGTCTAGTGCCTATTAACACAGTCTTTTTCTTTCTATACATCTAAGTGTACCCACTTAATTATAACATTTTGTGGGGGAAAATGGAGTCTAGGGCTGGAGAGATGGCTCAGAGGTTAAGAGCA